CACATTATATCATCAGCAGAACGATCGAACTACAGAGCAAAAAAATCCTAACCCTCTTTCCAGAAATGCTGCAGTGGAAAGGGAGGACGCTGCAGGTTCAGTATGATTGACACATTCCCAAGTATAGTCCCTGAATGGCTCCCATATTTTTCCACCACTGTTCATGTTGGGATGGTCTAAACCATAGACTGTCTATAAAGGTGGACAACACAGCTCCACCTCCTGTCAAAGCCAAAATATCTCAAATGAGAATCCACAGTTGATTGGGGGATGGAGCAGTGGCAGCAAAATTCCCACATGCACACGACCAAGGCAGACTCAGCTGTCAATCATGACATCATACTTAATGAGAAAAATGAACACATACGTCAGTGTGATAAGAACTGGTTGGTTTGAAGAGTCTGTCTGTGTGGAGTTTACATGTTCTCCACGGGTCTGCATGGAGTTTCTCCGACTGGGCATGCAGACTATAGTTGGGAGATTAAGACTCTAAATTGTCTGTGGGTGTGAATGTGAGTAAAAGCAGGTGTATGTTGGCCCTGCAATAAATTAGCAACTGCCACTTGTCTGATGTCAACTGGGATTGGCTCCGTACCCCCCATGATGGAAGGATGAAAAACATTGTGTTTATCAGAGCAGAAATGTGTATTTTATATTAAAAAGTTTCCTTTTTTCCTGTTTTCACAGGTGAATTGACCAAAGGACAGATATCAAGTCGGACTCGCTGAAAGAGGGAGACAAGCACAGAGGCATCTTTCTGACCGTTACCACTTCTGCTGCTCAGCTGAGAGGGAAAAAACACCCTTCACTCCCACCTTAGAGGAATTCAGGATTGTTGGAGCTCATTCCAGCAGCTTTCTGGAGCATTATAGGAACAAGAGAAGACCTCCCTCCCTCTTATCACCGAGCCGCTGGGAGGGGTCGCACAGGGTCACCTGACCAAACTGGACCACGAGCAATGAGAAAGAGGTTGTAGCCAAACACAGGTAGTTCAGCGAGTGTTTTAAGTGAGACACATGAAAAGGGGAGAGAGTTTCTTGGCAGGCCACAGGATCTCGTAAAAGACAACAATACGTCTTGGACCTTTCTGAACTGCCTGCATTCAACCCCCCACTCCCTCCCCCACTCTGTGAACGCAGAAACCCCCCATCCTGTACTGTATGTATATATGTGAGCATCTGTGTGCATATGAGATTATTTATTGATGTTCACCGAGTGAGAACATATCTTTGTGCTGAAGTTCTAACTGTCAATGTGTGTGAATATATGTTTCTGTAACTAGACGTCAGAGACAGCACAAGAATCAATCTTAAAGTCATCAACACTGGTTCGGTTCTGTAAGCCGGACTGTTAAATCATCCACTTATAAGCTGTGACAGAGTGAGAGCTGCAGGTTGTGCTGCTCTGGCGGAGCTCCACTATCTGTCTTCCCCTCATAAAGACTCAGGCTGACAGGAGCGTACACCAGGGGGGGTCTCTGAGGGAAAACATGGAGGCAACCATCCGTCCCCATGTCCCTTCAAATGGCTGACTTCAGAGAAGGAGCCCAATCCGTTTCCCCCTGAGCAGAACCAGGCAGAGGCATCCAGCGCTGATCTCTCTCTCACCACCACCTCCACGAAACGTGCGGATGTCCTGCCTCAGGCGTCAGCCCGTCACCATCCCTATGGACACCGTCAAGATCATCCAGTCGGAGAAGTTCCCCAGAGAGTGCCCCGTGCCCGTCACGCAGCCACGCTATGCCCCGCCACCCAGAGTGGCGTGGGACGGCGGAGGCGAGGGCGAGATAATCGTCAACCAGGCCTGCAGCGACCTGACCCTGGACATAGCAGTGTCTCCCAGGCCGATGGTGTCCACCCCGGCCCCTGTGACGCGCAGGGAGCAGAGCTTCCTGGCGCAGCGCAAAACCAGTGCCAATGAAATCTGCTACCACCAGTTCCAGTACAAGATGGAGGACGTCATAGTCAACCAGTACGTGCTGCGCTCCTCCTCCACCTCCTCTTCCACTTCCTCCTCTTCCACTTGCTCGGGACCCGTCATGCCCTGCGAGCCCCTGGACTGCCCCACCTGCGGCCACACCTACAACTTCGCCGGCAAGCGTCCGCGTATCCTCTCCTGCCTGCACTCGGTGTGCGAGGAGTGCCTGCAGATCCTTTACGAGTCCTGTCCCAAGTACAAGTTCATCTCCTGCCCCACCTGCCGGCGCGAGACGGTGCTTTTCACTGACTATGGCCTGGCTGCTCTGGCCATCAACACCAGCATCCTGAGCCGCTTGCCCTCTGACCCCAACGGGCCTGTGCAGTGGGGCGGGGACGCCGACCGCAGCTGCTACCAGACTGTGCGCCAATACTGCCAGTCAGCCTGCACCTGCCAGATCGCCAACCCCTTGTCCTCCTGCGGCATCATGTAGGCAAGGGGGGGCACTGCAGGTATGACTCAACGTTGGCCCCCCAACACCACTCTTATCGTCTATAAGCTCGACCCTTTCTGCCAATTCCTTCCCCGTCACACACACATACAGTAAATAAATCCCTCCACAGATGTTATCTCTATATATTTAATAGCACAGATGGATGCTATGTGGGACTAATGGATGCTGGTGGTTCGATAAATAGTAAATACATGTATTTTATGTATGGACTGGAATCCTATTCACCCTCTCTTGTTTGGTTGGACGTGTTTGTCATTGACATCTCTTTACATGGGAATGCCAGGGGAGGTCTGTCCCCCCCAACCTCGGTGAATAAAGATTAAATAATGATAAAAGGAAACGCTGTGTGGCCTGGACTTGTTATACGTCAAACGAGCGATTACAGCTGAAGAATACTGCCTTTCCTTTCTCTTATATTTATTATTATTGAAATATTTGTCTGGGGACAGTTAATGGATTAAAGAACGATTAGAAGATATGTTCTCCACAATTTTAAGGGGGTTTCCAGGGTTTTCTGAAAACTCTTTGAAATGCATTAAAACACAATCCATTTATATACAGTTTATAAAAGTTATTTCCTGAATTGGCTTTAATGCTTCACAAATTAACATTTTCATTGTTTTATGTTAAATGTGAAGGTTTACATATTATAAATCTTTTCATTTCTCATTAGATTTTCTCCAAACCTGAAACAATTAATTGACCAAATAATTCACCAGTAACACCGGATGACTATATAATAAGTTATTTAAGCAAAAAAACATTTATGTACATTTATAATTCATAGATTATTAACATTTAGTGTACATGGCTGAAAAAATATACATTTATATTGTTCTGAGTTGCACTTTTACAAAAACAGACACAATTTACCAATATAAAAAATGATGGCAGGTATACAGCATAGATACAAGGTGGGCAATAAATTAACATGACAGATTGCTACATCACATGGGCCAAACAGGAAGTCTGTGAAATCAGCGATCGTGCTCCGACAAGCTCATTCCACTGCAGAATCAGAACCAACAGGTCCAAACATCATGGCTGACACTGTAGTCCATTTTATACAGGCAAAGTCTTCCTCCTCCTGAACAGCTGGCTGAGCCGTCGTCGGGCTGAGTTTTTCTCAGATGACTGCTGGCTGTGGAGATAAAAAATTCATCAGACGTAGCTGAGGCAAAGCAATGTGGAAAACATGAGGAAAGGACAAACTGTTCAAGAGGAACAAATCCACGGACTGAAAATGAACTCCCACCAGTGGCTCTGCATCCAATGTGGGCCTCTGCCATGTTTGAGCAGCACATTGGCTTAATCAGAGCATCGTGCATCACATGCGATGAATAACGCTGCCTCCTCAGAGGAGGTTATAAATGCTTAATAAATATTTTACCCCTTTATATCTCTCAGAAAAGGCTCCTCTCTTCTGAAAGAGGAAATTTTTATCCTCCAGTTCTTGTCAGTTTTATTTCTCTCCTCATTTGGAGACTCCTGAAAAGACACATTGAAATATTTGTGAAGCAAAATGATAGAAGATTGAGTGAAAGCCTAAAGTAAATTAACAGATTTCTTACAAAAATCAGTGTGACATAATATCTGCTGTTTGATTGATTGTATTTATAACAGATATGAAAAATGATATTTTGCATCAGAGTGCATGATACCTTCTGTAGATGCTCTTCCTCTAGCTTCTCCTGCAGGACATCTGTGCTCATGTGCTGCCCCCTGCAGTCTGACTTTATCTGTCCTGCACCAACCACACACATGCACAATAACATGAACACATATTACACTTCTCTCTTCAGACATATGAATATACAAAAAATATCAGGTAGTGCATGGCTTACTTAAATGCAGCGATGTTAGCGTTGTGTCTGAAGCAGATCTCTGTCGAAAATGTCCATAAGGGTTCGTCTTAAACTGCTGGCCCTCACTGGAACTGTGTTCTTCATTTTCTACATGTTCATCCTCCTCAGCAGCTCCAGAGTCAGTGTGACAGCTGCCAGGAGCCTGAAAGACAATGTCTTCATGGTTTAATTCATTTCAACCCTCCAGCGGCAAGAAGACATCTCGTCCTCCCCCAGCTTGACAAGCCCACGTCATGTTCCTGAACCCAGCACCATGTGATGACTGTGACAGCTTCTTAATTGTCTTGCAAAGATGACATACACAAAGGTCTTCACCTGCACGTCTTCATGTTCCCGCAGGGCGTCCATCTCCATCTGTAATGCTTGATTCTGAATCTGCTGTCTGGCGATTTCCTCCAGCATTTGGCAAACCTGCTCCAGGTATCGCAGCCCAGGACTCATGCCCGACATGTCCTTGTCACCGAGCTCCTGCACAGAGCATTGAGAGTGTAGAAAAGTGTTAGGGTATATATTTATATTGATGACCATGGTTCTTAAAAGATGAATGTTGATGACTTTCCTATAGCGCCACCATGAGGTTTACATTTGTGGTTTGGGTGAAACAACCATTTGACAAATTTCCCAGATTTATGATAACATTGGTGTTTACTTCATGTCTCATACTGATTTTATGTTGTCTGACAAATTGATTTTACCACTGTTAATTTCAACATTAAACAGAACAGAATTAAAGATAGACTAAGAATCGATATTAAATGGGGTTTTTCAGGACATGGATTTGGTTTTAATGTTTTGAATTCAGTCTCTCATGTATCTTAAAATGAACTTTATAAACAGCAAACTCAACCTGTTCTGTCAGAATGTCCACATGTGTCACATTTTCTATTTATGCTTGCAGGCATGAAATGAACAATGGAAGTATAATCAACTATAATTACAAGAATATAATATGTATATAATTGAGTCATTATGACTGGTTGGTACAGTTTATAATTCCCCTCCAACAAGGAAACAAACATAACCATGGTTTTACAATGATACTTGAATGATTCATAAGAAGAGTTGCCAATGTTTGTGTCATTCATTGTAAATCAAAATCAATCTGGAATCCAAACTTTTATTTCCCGTGTCTTGTTGACAACATGTCACACTTATATCTAAGAAAGCCCACAGACTGCTCCACTTCCCCCACATCCATTCCTCTCATGCCTGTGGGCGTAGAGCCAGCTGGGCAGACTGGTTTTTGATCCCTCACACCACAGACGGACTTATGTCACGTTGCGAGCATCAAAGAGATCCTGCTAAAGTAATGACATACCTGTCTTTCAACTCGTGTGTTGAAACTAGGTGAGAAATAGTAGCTTTGTTAAACTTGACTTTCTTTTCATGCTTTCCTTTAATATTTACAAGCCAGTGCCGCTGAGCAGGACTGAACATGTTTGGGTGAAACTGTGTGAGTAGGCGCGCAAATGAGAACAACCTGTTGTTCTTTCCAGTGACGGGAATAAGACTCAGCGTAGACTTGTCTCCTGCTTTTCCAAATACTAAACACACAGTTTGGGTTGTGACATCTCACCTCTGATTTCAGCTTGTCCAACCTCAAAGACATCGGTCGTCTGCACATCTCTGATGTCTGTCTGAGGGACACTGATTGGTTGACTGTCCTCCTCGGACCAAAGCTCTCTGACCTTTGACCTCTCACGGGTCCTGAGGTGTGCCGTTTGGCTGGGGAAGATGTTCGAGACTGCCTCCTGAGCACCTCCTCCACTGTGAGGAGCTGTGAATTGTCCTTCTGATTTTTGGAGTCAGTCCTCTGTAGTGCTTGCTCCACTTTTCGCTGCAAGGCAGTGGAGCGGTCCAAAGATTTGATGGGACAGAGGCCCAGGGACGAAGAGGAGGAAGAGGAAGGCACAGGCGAGGACAGCACAGGAGACAGTGACGTGGAGGCCAGAGAGAGTCCCGTGGCTTCTGGCATGAATGCATCTGTCTCAGCATTATCTGCTGAGGTGAAGGAGGACGAAGCAGGAAAGGATGTGTCCGTGCTGGCTGTCTCGACTCCAGAGTCCACCGATTCTGAGCGGAAGTTTGGTCCAGTGTCAGAGGAAGGTGTAGGAGAGTCTGGATACGTGCCTCCTTCATTTACCCAGGCCTCCATGAGGTTTCCAAAGCTCCTGTAGAGATTCATCCCTGAAGGTTTCTGTCCCTCACACCTGAGCTGCTGAACTGCAGCAGGAACAAGAAAGAGATACACTCACCTTCACCGTAATAAGCTGAGGTGAGGCGGTGCTGTAGCATTCAAGACATTCCCAGAGATCCGCCTTCCTTCCCACACCACACCTCTCATCTGTCCTGTCACAGTGCCGTGCTGCATGTCCACACCTGCCCCTTCCTGTCACTGATCATGGGAGAGGTGCTGTGACTCATCTGCAGCAGCGTTTGACATGATTTATTTGTCTGCACTTCTATAAGAAACCCAAAGAAACAACAAGAGCAAGTTAGGACATGGGTGCACAGATTTAACCTGTGTTCATACTGACAGTCCTGCAGCAAAGGGAGCAATCACAGAGGAATGCTGACAGATATCAAAGACACAACAACAACTGCGGGCTGTTTTTAAATATCACCAACGAGACGACACAGAAACAAACACAACTATGACCTACACGTCCAAGAGTGAGCGACATATGTTCAAATTCCTCAGCGGATATACAGAACAATGGTGTAGGTGTGAAGTGGTGAAGTGTAACAGTGAGCTGGAGCAGATAACACATCTGTTTCGTCATTACAGCAAACTGAGATTTACCTGAGACTGCAGGAATGTGTGTGTCGGAATGGACTCCTGTCACATCTGTTGATATGATCTACATTCCCCAGGGGAGGAGAGACCGAGCAGCTTATCTGATAAAACATACAAACTCATTCACAATCCTGGAAACACAAAACAAAAGCAGGTTAACACTGAGTCACTGCACGGTCTGATGACATTTATATCCACTGAACCTTAACAGAGACGTCCCTCCAGTGGAAAATACTGCAGTTTTCCATTATACCCCTACAGATACCTGAGAATCGGTCCCTCATCAAATCATATTAAACAACAGGATTAGTCCATTTTTCCTGTTAATGAATCTATGATAACAACACAATCTGCAAATGATATCTGGTTGTAAGGACATAAAAAATAAATGAGTGTCCTCCCTGCATATCCGAGGTGGATAGCTTGTATGATCTGTCGTCATTAGGAAACTACTATTAGCATTTGTTATTGTCTCTCTTTATTTTTCCCAGCGTTACAAGATGAGTAAAATATTTCAAGTCTGTCTTAACACATCACAGACACGCCTTGGTATTTTGTGTGGACTTCAGAGTTTCATTCTACTATTAAAACAAATATATTGATATATGGATAAATTAATAAATAACACATGGTTGCTATTTTACAGACTAAGCTAAATATAAAGTACTTTTCGACTTACATATATTTGAAATTGAGCAACTGTGTTGCTATTGTAAATTAAAATTTACAGAAAATACAACTAATTAAAGCAATCCATCATAATTCAAGATTTGAGCAAAATGACTCAAATGTACAATTGAGTTTTTTTTATTATCCCATTTGTTTTTCTTCATCTCTTTTGAAGTGAATGATTGTTATCGTCAGTCAGTAGCTGACACTGAATCCCTGTTCAGGCCACAGACCAGCTGAGAGCAGCAAAGCTCTTCTGATGACTTGTTGTTGGACGTCATTGTTGTCCAGGAAGTTTTCGGTTTCAGCTTGTCGACACTGAGCTGTGTGCCACTGTGCGTCTTTGTTTGATTCTCAGTAGCAACCTGCAAACTCCACAGGCAGGAGGCACCTGACCTCACTCTTCAGTCCTCAGCCTGCAGCCTTCAGCAGGAGCAACATGGAGACATACGCTCCCAAACTCAGCAAAACTCTGTTGACACCTGATCCACATTATATTCCGGGGTGAGTTCGTGTCTGCATATATGATAACACTGTAAAATAACATGAAGATTCAAAAGTATTCACATGTAGGTTTGCTGCTAATTGTGCAATGCACAGTTAAATGACATTTGTTTGGGGTTTAGCTTCCCTCTAGAATATGTTTCTCATACATTAATAAGTAATTGAAATATATTTTAATGATTTTGTGTGATTTTGCTCAGGCCCCATCCCTCCACCAAGTCTGGTGGAAATTGGGTTTTTACATAATTCCAACAAAACAAAAAACATAACCAACCAAATATAACCTACATTATACTGCAGGTTAAAAAGCTTCTCATTATTTAAAATGTATAAAACCTGCAACACCTTTACTACAGATGCTTCTTTATTTCCCAGGTATTCAGGGTATTGCCCACAGCTCAAGTTTAACATGGGGAAAACTTACAGCCAGCACACGGCCGAGCTGCTGAGCAGTCCTGATGTGAAACACTCCAGTCGCCTGGTCCTCCACACAGGTGACTCTCCCTCCACCGACACAGCTGCTCTGACACTGAGAGGCATCCCCGACAGTAACTTGAAGAAGGTGATACCTGGATACACAGGTAGGTGTCACACACTCACTCAGACTGGGAGTCAACAAAGTAACCGGACACCGCATGGAAAAATCATTTTATACTGGAGACAAATAAAGTTTTATAGCAGGTAAATCTACTTAAACTGTTTATTACTTAGTAATGAGGTGACTGGGTGGCTGAAGTCAATTAAGCAGCATGAGAAGAAATAATCTGTGTGCAGCTGCTAAATTATGAAGGGTGCACAGCCGGGTGAGTGCAGAAGTGTTGAAAATCACACGAACGCACGCACGCACACACAAAATAACACAGTCTATCTTTTCTACTGATAAGACAAGTAGATAGCTTTTGTGTTATTTCAGATTAAGGTGCAAACAACCTTTTTATGTTGCTTGGTGCCGTTTCAGGTTTCATTCCAAGGAGTCAGAACTACTTTTCCTGCACCTTCTCTGACATCTGCTTTAAAGCGCAGGCTGAGTTTCACCAGGACAGACAAGCGAGGAAACTGCGGCGATCGACAGAGCTGCCGCTTGTGTTCAACTCCAGCAACCGACAGATTGAAGTAACCCCTCTCTCACCTCAGTCTTACACATACATGACCATTGCACCTCAGAGTAGGTTCACTCTGGTTTCATTATCCATGGTGGAGCTCTAAGTTGCCGGTGTTATTCTCATTATATAATATCATATAGAATCTCGCATCCATAAAAATTGTGTAACACTTTGTCAACAGCCTCATGCATGTTTTAATTATTCTCCATCATCATTTGACCCAGAGACCAAAACACCCCCTGACAGCGATCTCCAACAAGGTGGTCTCCTTCACGCCTGTGACGTCCTTCACCCCCGTCACCATTTCCCCGTATTTAATGGACGATGATAACCAGCACAAGTACTATATCTCAGGTACAAGACAGAGTTTGATGGTGGGTAAGAATGCATGATTCTTACTGCATGCTTCAGTTGTAACTAATTAAACATCTATACAGAGCAACATTAGAATTCATTTGAGGTCACATTTCCAATATTTAAATCTTATTTAACTCTGTTTTGGTCTCCAGCAGCTCCTTACATTTATCTCAATAAATCTCAATAAGCTTTGCATGTCACCTGGTGGTTGGCCGGTAGCTCAGAGTGGGTTTATTCACAGAAAAAAGATACATTTAAGAATTATATTGACTGCTTTAAAGCTGCGTTTATCAGCGTTCGACCAATAGGGGGCAGAAGAGGTCACAAACAAGCTGACAAACACACAGTCTGAAAATGCTTTCGACATGCAAAGCTTTTATGGCGAACATTTTAGTTAACAACTAGCAGTAAACATGTCCAGCAAAGCCAGTAAAATATCCAGGTTGTAAACTGATAGATTTTTAACTAATGACAGCATCTCTGATTCAAATGTGCAGGCTGTAAAAGCAAAACATAATTTCCTTTCAATGTTATCTCTCATATAAAAATACCAAAGAATTACCAAAATACTCCTCTGACTCAATTATACTGTTTTTCTTTAGGTTTTACTGGGCATGTACCAAAGTCCCGTTTCCTGATGGGTAAAGGTTACCCCATCATCACCAACGAGGCACTGATCAAGTTTGGAAAGCAGCAGCGGAGTGACCCCACGTCCCCGGAGATCCTGAGGAAGGACAGTATAACACCCCCAATGCCAACCATCTACCAATCAAAAAGTGGTGTGGTGCCATCATTCACAGGACACATCCCGGGTCTGTATCACAGCGACCGACACATTTCACATCATGAGATAAATGATAAAAGTTGATTGACATGAATCACTCAGAGAGAGGACACATCAAGCACGTCTAATGATAAATCATCCCACAGGAAACAAGTTCATGTTCGGACATACCTTTGGTCAGATTTCACGGGAAGCACTGGAAAGGATCCGCATCGAGAGGCTCCTTCGAGGAAAGTCCTAAAACTGTCTCACACTTAAATCTTGTGATCATTAGGCATGATGAGTCAAATCTAATAATGTATCAGAGTCTTCACATTTACACAAGAGGGACTTTGAGGGCCCTATGCAAAAGGGACCTGTGGGGCCCTACATCAAACCAAGCAACACTTTATACATGATAGACATTCTCATCATCAATCAAACCTCTAACATGTATAATGGTTTGGCAGAAAGCAAGTGGCACAGGGTCTTGTGAGGGAGGTTCTAACCATGGTGTAACTCATTCATATACAAATAAACTGCATACAAGAAGAAGACAGGTAAATATATTAGTTCTTTATTAACAGTTTGATTGTCACTGGGCATTAGAGGAAGCATTCAGAGGCTGAAGAGAAAATACTGTGGTATAATATCACAGACTTCACATTACTTATCTAACTATCAGTCTATCAAAATATATACCTTACACACACTGAAGTACCTGAACAAGCCCGACGCTGGCTTATTAACTGAACAAACCTCACATGAACATACTCATTATAACAAACTATTGCACACATTTGGAATTCCAGTGGCAGAAAATTACCAGAAGCTCATTCTACTGCTATAAATACATTTACAAGAGAATAAAAGATCTAAAAAACTAAATGAAACACTGAAGCACCTATAGCAGCCGACTGCATGTTTTTCAACTCGTGCACCTACAGTAAATCCATGCTTGGAATTTGCAAAAAAAAAAAACAGTTGAAAAAAATCACTGACACTACAAGAGGTTGGCGTGTGGCACATATACCACTAACAGTGTATTGCTTGATTTTTTCTTTTTAGATGATCAATAAGAGGAAGGATAGAGCTATGAAGAGACTGACAGTGTAATATGAGACATGAATCATTTTGTACCACATGAATGTTCAACAGTCTACTTTGGGTCAATATTCACATTTTATGATTTTTGCCCTCAAGAAAAACATGGGAGAGTAACAGAAGTGACTACTTACAGTTCTTCCACAGAGCAGGTGCAGCCAGAGGCTTTGGCCCTCATTCATCAAGCAGTTAAAACTGTTGTTACTGCAGCAAATAGGCCTTCACCCATAGAGGGCGTAGTTTTCAGTAGTCCTTGGTTTTGTTTATCTGAGCTGCTACTATCTTCATTGACCTGATGGATTGAGCCAACAGTCCAATCTGCGATCTGTCCAAATGAAGCCACTGTGATGGTCGTCTGAAATCAATCACAAAGAGAAGTTGGTCACGTGAACATTGTCAAACTCTCACTGATCTAGATCTCAGGGCAAAAAAAAGAAACTGATTAAAGTAGTTTACAAATCTAACAACAAAGTCTGTGCTTGTTTTGATTGAACGTGGCTCGTTCTCACCTTCTGGTTTGTGCTCCGATGTGACTCTGAGAAACTGGCTCGGCTCTGGTGGAGGAATTGGCTGCTCCAAACAGTTTGGCCCAGCGCAGCCCATCCTGACATGGGCTCTCCACCTGGACACAAGCCGACGCATTTAGGGCCCCATTGTCTTTATCTCTCCTCGTCTCTTCTTGTGCACTGTCCATACTTATCTGAGACCAAGTATCTGCATAATTTTGGCTGCAGTCCTCCCCTTCCACCACACCATCCATGAGGTCGGGCTCTTTCTGGCACCACTCTGGAATAGGAGCTAACCATGAACTCCTGTTAGCCTGTGTCCCTCCACAGTGCTGCTTGATGGAGCGTGAATTGAGATGACTGGGCGACTCTTTGTGATGCACACCTATGTGTGGTGACATCTTTGTTTGCTGACTGCTGTAGCTGCTGTCCACCTTTCTGTCGGCTTGCAGAAGTGGCCAGCTGGTTGCTAGGAGGGCTGAGCACGGCTGGGGTGGGGAGACGCCCTGCTCCTCGGGACACATCTGTCTGTTACGCAACAGTCGGGGCTCCAGGAGCAAGTTTAGGTCAAAGGGCAACACGGAGAGCGGCTGCAGCAGAAGCAGCAGTTCCTGAAACAAGGGCTGACACTGGCCCAGTGACATTGACAGGAACCCCCAAGAATGATAGTATGTTGTTATGACATCTGTGGAGTTCAGAACACACACAAGAATTTGGTTCATTTAGTGTTCATCAAAATTCTTATTTACAATTATTTAAGGGTCTAAAGGCCGGCTAAAGGAAGTGTGTGCTTCAGCAAAATGCTAAACTCAGCATGCTAACATAGTCACAACGTTGGAAGTGACGCTGCCAGTTTGAAAAAACAACATTTAAGTTGGTTCACTCACTTTTTTGACTCTGAAAGTGACTGAGCCAGAATTCCAAAGCTCTTAAGCTGAAAAAGAGCAAATCAAAAGATACAAAGGTTTTTACTCAGTCATTTTTATATACATTATTTAGCATCACTAAGTCACAGTCGGTACTTACTTAAGCAAACCCATTATGAAGGCCCTCAGTCTCATACAGTGGCTCGAGAGCTGGGGACATTGTTTGATTTTTGACACCAGGCTGTGGAGGACTCTGGTGGATGGACCTGTCGACAAAACAAGTGCTGTTACATTCATGACAGTCGCTCTGAATCACAATCACTCCATGAAGCTTTAACTACTCACAAATACCTATTCTAGTGGAGAGTTCCACCACCGTCCAGGAGTGGTTGCGGCGCTGCCCGATGATGAGATCCAGTTTGTGATCCCTGAGCCCGTCCTCTAAAATATTCTGGATCGTCGGACACAGATGCTCCAGGACCAGACCTGCAATGGTGGGACTCCAAGAGCTGTTCCCCAGACGCATCTGTGCCAAAGAGATAATATGATACAGCACATCTCCTGCTGACACAGGTTATTTGACTCCAATCCTATAATGTAAGTAATGTCAGTTTGGCTGCTTCTCCATTGAGTCGCATCGCTCAAGGGGCTGAGCTTTGCCAGTTCATACCTTTTCTTCTGGGTCTCTGCTGCTGCCAAAATGAGCCATAATCAAATCCACCGCTCTGCTCACAGATCTGAGCAAACCTAGAGACAGAAGACAACAAAGAGGTTTTGACAATTTATCATGATTTTTGTACATGATTGCAACTCGTAGAAGAAGAACTCATTAAATTCTGGTGCAGATCTGGACCAGGAGGCAGATCCAGGATTTTTTTCTTCCTCTTTTCTAACATTGTAATATAGTTTTTCAACATTTCCGTTGATTTCATAGATAATCATCAATAGATTCTGATGGAAAATATATTTTTAGGGGAGTAAAATTTATGAGTGAGTGCAATGTGGTGCAGATCCAAATAAAAATCAGGATCTAAATGATATAAATGTGGTTTCCTAAGGGAACTGTAGTGAGGTATGTGCTACTGCAGTTTCCTGTGTGCTACAGAGGTGGAAGTCTTATTTTTCTAGAATAAGCAAGACAAGTCTGTTTTTTCCTATTAACCAGTTTCCAGTGTAAATCGACTTGTTTCAATAACCTTCCACAATATTCATTTTATTGCAGCGATTTAATATCTATCTTAACAGTGTCAGCATGTTTTTTTTTCTTGAAGAACTCCATAATAAATTAAATGAATTTTTCAAGATTTCTTCTCATTAACTAGGTCAGTGGATAGATGAAAGCATGAGAGAACGCTTTCAGTGTTTAACCTATTGCTCAGATGCAAATGTGAATGAGAGCAGAAGATGATGGAGTCAGTTTTCCATTTCAGCTGTGACCCTGATTGAATTGCCTCTCTCACAGTCTCCCTTTCTTCATCTCATGGCTAGCCTCTGCAAATGTCACGCTGAATTCTTTATGCATGTTGACGCTGCCTGCAGTGCTGCACCACACTAACTCTCCACTGCTGCTGCAAATACCTCCATGGACAATCAACCATCTCAAGGTTCAAGTTTATGTAATTACATTGGCACCAAGCTTCCATATGGCAGCAGTGAAACAAAATGATTAGGTGCGTTATAAATCATTAGCACCGTTTCTACTGCATCATTCTCCCTCTCGCTCTCTTGCAGCCTCACTCACATAGGCTGCAGAGCAGGAGGCTCAGCCAATCCCGAGCAGGGAGAGTTAAAAATAGGTCATGTTTGAAAGAAAGCCCCTTCAGGGTATTGAAGGCACTGCTGCAGCACAGTGAGATTTTATTGCTGTTCTCAGCGGCTCATCACTGAATAGCCAATCCAATTACGGTGGAATCCTTGAGTCGTTACTGCAGCCGAGTCACTTTTTACTCCATTCAGATTCTTATGTGTGTCATATACTAGTGTGTCAGTCATGAGTTGACCCTCACCTCTCCTCTGAAGATGGCTGATAGACAGGGACTCATATGATGTATCGGGCGAGAGGCAGAACTCTGTTGGCGGCCTGTCGCTCAGGATCAGAGATTCACTGTGCTGACTCTGACTCTGTTTCCCACTGTGCCCAGCAGAGTCCTGCATTTGCTGTGGATGGAGCCCAGACGCAGCCAAAGAGAGCAGAGAACTCAAAGAGGAGAGAGGAGCGACCGAGGAGAGGGCAGCTGTGAAGCTCCCGTGAAAAAAGCTGGAGTCGGCTGCAGGTGTAGCTCTGTGCTGTGGGAATTTATTTTCTGTTTGTGAGAACGTGGGGGGAGATGAGGAGACCTGAAGGTTTGGGTGACGTGTGTCAGTGGTTAGGGGTAAAATGGGGGGTGTATGAGAAAATATTGAATTGTAGAAGGTGTAGTTCTGGGACTGATGGTCATTGTAGCTCTGCTCAGGGGTGAGCTCGATCAGCTCCTCGTAGGTGGGAATTTTAACAAGGTCCGACTGATTTGGAGCCGAGGTAAGATTAAAAAAACTGTAAGTCTGAGTTTTGCCTGAGCACGGGCTTGTTTTATCCAGCCCCTGACTCGATCTGGGCTTTGGGCTGGTGTGAGATGGATCCAGGCTGCTTTTTGATGTGCATGGACTGTAACTTCTGCCGGCCTGGCCCCACGTGTGTCTGCGGCCGAAGCACTCCGGGCTTGGCGTGCAGGTGGAGCAGGTATCAGAGCTTGAAGGAGCTTCCAGGAAGATGGAGCGGCGACTGCCCGTGGGTGATGGCTGAAGATTAGAAAAGCACCGACTACTTTTGCCCTTGCCCTTGAGGCCGGGCTCGGAGCTACTGGACTTGCTGCTCTTTTGGTTTATGTACTGCTCCAGGAGACAGCCCAGGTGCTGCGCTTGAGTCTGCGGTTTGTCTGCGGGAATCAGAACGAAGGGCTGAATGGGCAGCGAGGTCGGCCTCTGGGCTTTACTGTAGCGCACCGATGCGTTTTCCAATGAACACGCACCTAGAAGGATAAGATAAGAGGAAGATAAACAGTTTTAAGATTTTACACTGAAAAAAAGCTGTTCATCTACTACTGGTATATTTGGGCATATGTGCATTGTCTTACCTTCCTCAGCAGCATCAGTATAACAGTGCTCTGGGTTCAGAATCACAGATGGCTGTATGGACACACCACTTGTGTTTTGGCATTTCCTGCTATGTGGGCTACACTGGCTGGGGCACAGTGAACAGGGCGAGCGGGAGAGGTCCTGGATGCTGCCTGTGTGTTTGGTTCTGCAGAATCCTTTGTCAGTGGAGGTGGAGGCAACCTGGAAATCATCGCTCTGACAGTGAGAGGAGAACATGTTTTCTTTTTGTTGATCAACTTTGTCCTGAAAGGAAGAGAAAAAAAAATAGAACTGCTTGAGTTTATAGAAGCAAATCATCAGTCCACTTTTAAACAAATCATCAGTACCACTTTGTAACATGGGAGCCTTTATCAAGAATTACACCGTCAGGTATAACTAAAAGCTTCATTCATTTACTAACTCAGGCTGCAAAATATTATTACTCACTCATAGTTTCCCCATCACCCATCCAGTTAGAATATAGTAATAATATTAATAATAATTAGATTTGATTGTGGAATTGATGCTCTTTTCTGTTTTCCTACATTTACTGCACCCAGTACATTGAGAAGTGTTTTAATTACCTTCTTCTCTTCTTTGTGCGTTTCTTCTTTCGCATAATGGATGAAGAGGTGCTCAGAGGGAGGGAGGGGGCTGCTTCTGCTCGGACCCTCTGGGCAGCTGTTAACACTGGACCAGGCCGGGCTGGGTGACTGGGAGGAGAGGTCGCAGGTCACAAGCTTGTAGTACTTCTGATTGGTCCCCATGGCCAGTGTGCTCTGGCTTTGTAGACAGGCAGTCAGGTCCGATACCTCCAGAGAAGAGAGACCCGGGGGCAGCGGCTCCAGGGAGTACAGGTTACAGTTAGAGTCAAGGCCCTGAGGTGACCAGCGGGAAGCAGCAGGCGTCAAGTCGACCTCATCTTTTGGGGGAGAGTTACCTATCATGTCATCTTGTTGCTGGTCCTCAGTCCGAGTCTGGGGCACAGGTTGGAGGTTGAGGAACACAGATCCCTCATGTGACTGAGATGGGTGAAGTGCAGGACTGCTGAGGTCATGAGGTGTGGCGGGGTTGTTGCTCCGGTTATACATCGTGCAGAAGTTCACCAAGACGCCATCTGAACTGTTACAGGAAGAGTCGCTGACATACTCGGTGTTAGACAACACCTCTGGGGAACATTTGTGTCTGTCTGAGTCCTGCACTCCACACGTCATCATCATGTTCACATGAGAGCGCTGGCGGTCAGTCTGCAGGGAGTCCAGGAGGTTTGGCTGGTTAGAGAGCCACTCTTGGTCGCTCTCCATGCCCAGCTCTATCCCTTCATTGCCCCATTCACCCTCCATGTCTCCAAGGGGCATGGTGTAATTTCTGGCACCATTACTTAGTGGCCAATTAGAATTTCCATGCAATACAAAAGAGGAGTCCTCGTGATATCTGTGCAGATTATCTCCTTCACTATCCTCATCTTCCTCATCCTCATCCAGCTGTGTGCAGGGAAGGAATGAGTTGTGAGACCTCACGCTGCCTCTCCCCTCAGAGCTTTCCTTCTTCACATAGGAACCTGTCTCCTCTGGTGACGAGGTGGAGTCGTATCTCCCGCTGCTGTCGCTGGCCCCCTCCTCCTCCGCTCGGTCCTCATTGAGTCTGCTGTAGCTGCTGGAGAAATGTCTTCTGCCACCGGCAAAGCCTTGCTCTCGGTTGAGAGAGTCTTGCTCAGGGAGCGACACAGCTCGGGTCAGGCCAACCGAGCACAGACGGCCGGACCTCTTGGCCGAGCTGCACAAGGCCTGGACAGGAAGTTGCCATGTGGGAAGCTGAACCACAGGGAAGTGGCACGCTATCAGGGTGTCGCCTGAGAGACTGGATGCTCCAATCATAACGCTGGACGAGGTTGGACCGAGGACACTGTCTCCATGTTCCTAAAATTAAATCCTGCAAGAACAGAATAACTTGTAAGTTTGATAAATCGACTTTGAATGTGGTGTCAATGATGCACAAAGATACTCTTATTGCTTATTCAGATCAAACACAGGCTGGTTGTTGAATCTGATAAAAAATGCATTCCATGAGAACATAATGAGAATTAAAAATGCATATAATTCAACATTTAATGGATGTTTAATACACTTCCTGAGGCTCATCAGACATTTTCAGCAGTGCAGAATTCTTCATGCAATAATAAAGTTGAACTGAGGGATTCTCTGAGGGAGGAGGGGAAATTATTTCCAAACTGATTTCACTAAATTTTAACATTTTGAATTATTTTCCAGACAATGGTGACATGCTGCACATAAATGTTATTTGTATAAATCATATACTTGTTTTTGTTGTTTGCTGCATATGAATTCTTTGTTTTTATCCACCTGTGACTCTGCTGCTGTGTTTTCTGGCCTCAGTGAATTTGAGGTCTCATCCAAATACAGATTAAGGTGTGAACATGGCTTCTGTAGCTGTCAAAAATAATCCAGTGACTCTTCTAGCTGCAGAGCTAAACCAAGCTCATCGCCTCAGCGATCCAATTATTTTATCTACGTGGTTAGTGAAACAATGTGTTTAATTCTGGCATAAGAGCTGCAGACAGCAGAAAAAAAGGTAAATAACGAAAGAACACCTGAAGACTCCAGCTGTCAGAGTCTGCTCCATCACTTCACTTCACTGGTCCTCCAGGAACACTGTGTTTTCTGCATCTGGCCCTCAGCCCCCAACACAGCCAAACCTCCATGATTCAGTCAACCATTTACTAACTCCTCCTCTCGCTGCCTGAGCCAACCACCGTCTCAGCCACTTACTCAGCCCCTCTGTAACTAGGGCAGCTGCACTGCAGAGATGCTCCGCTGGCACTGCTGAGAGTAAATACTTTCCACATCACTTTAGTTAAAGCCAAGAGTAGTAGTCACACATACCGCTCCTGATGGAACTAAATCACACACATGTGGCCTCGTAGTAAACATCATCGCTTCATGAAATGCAACAAAAAGATCATTTCCAGGTACAGAGGTGAGATTAGAAAACATCTGGAAACAGCATGTGAAATATTTGATGACAATATTAGAGAAGAAACCAAAGTGAATAAAGATCATTCAAGTCATTGAATATTATCATTGTTGCTAGGATACGATTACAACTGGAAAAAACTGGAAAAAATACTGTTAAATAAATATTTTAGATAAATTCAACCTTTATTTATTACACAGGCATCAGTTCATGGCTGTTAAACCTGCGCTACTGTCTGCAGGCACATAATGTGTAAACAATCTAAACATCTGGCACAGACGACCACGAGGATGTAATCCTCTTTATCGTCACGCCGCTACAATAACAACATCCTTACCATGGCAACAAAGAGTCAACACGTCAATAACATGCTCACAGGCAGTCACGCCCCTTTACACGAGCTTCTCATTATAAACACCAACCACAATAAATCAACACAAAAACAACAGAACAAAGCGGCGACACATTCTCTCTTGAGGTAGAAACAAATGATCTGAAGCTGAATGAGGGAAGGTTTTTTCTTCTTTCATGGTAATATTCAGTTTTTTAGGTCAAGGATGGATCCTGGATTTATAATCCTAAAATCTGTTAATTTTGGGGAATGCTCTATTTTTTCTGAAGGCCATACTGAACCCTGTAATATTTCACATTCTATAGAACAGGGAGAGGAAATTGAGGGTTATGAATTATAAGGCATTGTACCACATACATCATATATTAACTTAAACTGAAAATATGAAAAAAGTCTCTAGGGCTCTAGTTTTATTTTGAGTACATATAATGATATTCATATTGCTTTGAGGTGCAGGGCAGATTATAATTATCACCTCTCCAACACCAGAGTGGTTTTATTCTGCACTGTGAACCATCAATACATTGATTCATTTCTTTATGCTGTGTAAAATGTTTTTTGCAAAGACCACACATTCCATGAAGGGGGTACATCAAAATTATGTAAAAAAAACAAAAAACATTCAAGCGCCTTTGAGGATTTGTCTGTGTGTGTGTGTTTGTGTGTGTGTGTGTGTGTGTGTGTGTGTGTGTGTGTGTCTGCCCACTATTTCCTGGGCACTGGTCTCTAATCACAAAGTTGGTGTCTTGCCCTCAAGCATCACTCTGAATCCAACACTGCTCCTGACGTGTATGTGTGAGGAAAAAAAATGATTTTGGCTAAAAACATGTTCAATAAATTAACATATAATTCTCAAGATTAGTGTTACCTGTTATATGTTGTGGTGATATGATTGATCTATCCTTTCTCTGTGTATTGTCACAGTTCAACAGTTCAGTGCCACAGGAAAGTAGGACACTGTGACTGACGAGTCGTCTGCAGAGAACCAACAATTTCACTGCAAAGCGGATACGACTCCTGCGTGTCATCACTGCTGGAAGTCCCCTAAACTTGCAGCATTAGAATCCATGGCACAGAACTCTGTCGTCTGGATACTGGAGCGCAGTGAGATGGCTGTGATGAAGGGAACTATTTCACTGGAGATGTCTGTCAGGTCGACTCAGTCGTCTGATGTGAAGGAGGAGAACGTGGGTCTGTGAAGAGGAGTCTGACTTTCTGACTGTCTGAGTCTCTGTTCTTGTTGTTGTCGTGACAGACTCAGACCGTGATGCTGCTGATACGCCGCTATAGCTCAACTTTCACTAAGAACTAAGTGACAGAGTGTGTGTGTCTGTGTGTGTCAGTGTTTGTTACCTCTTTGGGACCTTTTTCAGAATAAACACTGAGCTTGTCAAGATGGAGACCTGATGGGGTTATGGTTGAAGTTCAATGCTAATCAGGTCATTTCTGAGGTCGTGGTTAAGGTGGTATGATGTGAATGTGGTTGGGTGATGGGTAGACATGAACTGGTCCTGGTTATGGTTAAGGATGAGGTTTTGGTTAGGCTGCCCACAATGAATGGAGGTCTGAGCTAATGAGGATAGCTGGTCACACTGTGTGTGTGTGTGTGTGTGTGTGTGTTTTGGATTTCATAGAGAGGATTGTTTTCAAATTAAATATTTAAAGTGGCTAAAGTAAGACAAGTTTGCACTATAGACTGTAGGTCTGTACACAATACCAAAGGATCATCATCAACACACACACACACACACACACACACACACACACACACACCTCATCCTCTCTGATATGAACACGTACCTGGGAGCAGTGCTCAGTCTGAGGTGATATCCCTCCGCTCCACTCTGACCTGCAGGAGCGGTTCGGTCCAAACTGATGCGACCAAACATTTCTGTAAAAAAAAAATACATGCGAGAGCTCGACGAACCTCTGACGTCAGATGCGAACATTTCCAGCGGTGACACCGGATGTGTGGAGCCGGTTCTCAGGGACTGTGAGCCCGCGGAGCTGCACCGTGGAGCCGGTTCTGGCTCTGAAGTCCGGGGACAAGCTGCGGTCCAGAGACCCACGCCGGCTGATGGAGGTAACACGTCATCACGTCTCTAACCAATGAGAAGAGAGAGAGAGACGTCCCCACCAATCAAAGCATCCAAAACACCAGGCAAGAGAAAAGGGCTGTAAACACCATATATTTACGTTTGGTACAAAATAAATACATATAAACAGTCAAATATAACCAACAGCATAAGAATATATATATATATATATGTATCAGTTTCTTATTATAAGAGTCACTTAATGTGTGCAAATCAAAATAATTCATAATACTGTTTATCATCTGGAAGTATTCCACAGTTTCTTAATATTTAAAATATGACTGATTTTGTTGTTGTTTGTCTTTTGGAGGCATCGGATAATGCAGATATGATAGTGTGATAAATGATTAGTTAATAAATTAACACAGTGTTAAATGCTGATACTATATGAGTCTATAATTAATATTTATAGAGTGCAAAGCTCAGTTTTGTCAAATCACATGAGCTGATGCATTATTCAGCTCAGTGAACCTGGCTCAGTGCGCCCCCCAGTGGTGTCAGGAGTTCCTGACATTATGATGGATAAATAAATACACAAACGGTTCATTGTACCTCAAAAATAAATTTAATACAAACTGGGAGGGGAAAGAACATCCTCCAGTACTTTATTCCCAAATTATTTCAATGCACTAAGGATAAAAATAATTATAACTAATACTTAAATTGTTGTGATTTAAAAAAAGGGTTAAAGACAAACAAAGTTTGGGGCAAAACAACTTCTTAAGATGCATTTTTATGTATATTTAAAGTATATTTGCATATTTACATTTCTTACAATATGTACAAATAAATATAAAACAACAATATTGAGTGAATATTTGTATTTTGTATTAAAACCATGTTGCAGATGTTTACAACCTGTGAGAGAAGTACTAAAGATCATTAACAGTGTAGATGGAACCATTTTACTGTTCATTTCCAGCTTTTACAGCTTTGATTTGCTGCGGTACCACATCAAATGACTCTCACTGATAAACATGATCCAACACATCATCAGCTCAGGCCAGAGTATCAGAGCAAACATTTCATTTTAACAAAGGTCTCTTCAGTCCAAAAGACGGATGTTTGTTTTGCAGACAGTTTCCCTCATGGAGTTGTGTTTGTGTATCTTCGCCTTCAAGTGGAGATCCAGAAGGAACAGATATTTTTCCTGGGAAGATAAGGAGCAGCTTTATTGCAGTGACTTTATTACATCATGTGAAATGCATGTGGACACAACTTCAGACACTGCACAAATATAGTAAAGAAATATCAGTGGATGCGTGAAAATCAAAAATAGACATAAAAGAATTATGTCTATTTAATATTGTTTAGTGTCATTTGATAGCAAAACATTTAAGATCCAGATTTCCTGATGTTAGAAGCCTTTAACATTATAAACACAAATCTTGTGATTGTTTTCTGTGAGTGGCAAAGTCTTGGGTTTCCTGAAAGTGTCACACGTGTGTCCTGCTCTACCTGCAATACTGTGTGGCACACTCAGAGTGATCTCTGCAGCTGGCACCAACGGCCTTCATGCTGTTCCAGCGCCACAACAGTGATCGCTTTGTCCTCCTGATCAAACCATTCCATTCATCAGGCAGAGGCAGGGAATCGACCTTCGAAATCAAATATAAACTCTTTTAGGAGCTCATCAATGACCCTCATGATACAGAATGGTATTAATATCAAAAACTGCCCTGGGGAAAAAAATGTAAAGAATTTAAGTGTGCTCTGTATATGAACTTACCTGGATGGCACAGATCAACGACAGAAGAACTGTAAGAACAAGGATTTTCTCCTGAAGAGTCCTCATGCTGGCTGCAGATCAGATTTAAGAGAGATTTAGTCCTGGTGTTCTGCCACAGGCCACTTGTATTTAAGTCTTTAATCAGGTTGGGGAGGAGTTAACCTCCGACAGATATTAAAGATTAATAAAGACAACAGGGGTTTATCTCCTGGAAGCCAAAGTACACTTTACCCTGGTAATTGAGGGCAATTCCACGTCAGAGGTGTCGAACTGAAACCTCATAAGCTGTAGACATTCACTCTTTGGCCTCACACCGGCAGTCTCCAAGTCATAGGAGGAGCATTCGGAGTACAGGAGAAAAGAGAAAGAACGTAAAAGCCTCACATTGAATGAAATCCAAAATACTGACTCCAGTTAGTCAGAAAATTTCTGCCAAATGAAAGTGAATGAAGTTTGTCAAAATTAAAGGTAAAAGCAAATACTCAACAGTCCCTTTAAGGAACAATATTTATATTCACAAGATCCAGATTTGAATTTGGATCTGCACCATTAACCTTCTGATCTGGAGCCGCACAAAAATTCCATTTCCTTCCACATGGAAATTGGTTCAGTAGTTTTTTGTGTAATGCTGCTGACAAATAAACCAAACATTCAGTAGAGTGCATCCCTCCGTCACGGCCCAACATTCCCCTTAAATTCAATCAAGCTGCACCAGATTTCACACACCCATAAATAGCAGCTCCCTTAATGTGAATGATTTTGTTGATCAAGATCCATGAATAGTTCCCAGAGAAATTTGTGAAACTGTCAAAAAACTAGATGTAAAAGACAGAAAAATGAGTGGATAAAAAATTTAATATGAACCTGGTTTATCCTTGAGCCAGAGATTAACTGGGTGATGTCCTTATTTCAAGCTAAGATTCTTTCTGGATGAATTTCAAGTTGGAGTCTATTATTTGTAATTTCACCTTCTTGCCGAGAGGATCGACACCACTGTTGTCCGTCTACAGCCATGACGCTATTAGCTTAGCCTATCAAGTGCAAACAAGTCTTACAAAATACTTGAAATATCAGTTATTTGAGATGAATCATCTGTTAAAATCAATAGGGGTGTGTGTGTGTGTGTGTGTGTGTTTAATAACTGCAGGGAGAATACGATATATGATACGGCTCCTTATCAAGTCCTGTAACATGCTGCAGGCAACGTGTGATGGAGGAAATAAAACACACCCGCGTAGATCATGAATCACACAGTTTATTGAAGTAGTGACGAGACATTCTGCGAAGTGTTAGATATGTCACCTGTTAGGAGTAAACTTACATACAGGTTTAAATATGGAGGAGCAGAAGTGTAAACATTATCTTTAACGTACAAAACAAACGTCACAACATGAGACAAGCTGGACAGAGGTGTGTCTGTTTAACAATGGTTAGAACAGCACAGGACATAAAGGACATTCAGAATACTGCTGGACAGAAAATCCATTATATTTTTATACACATAATAGCCAAATAAAAACTTTGCCTTTTCCCCCTGAAACCTTTAAATTAAGTCACAACAATCTGATAAGTGTCTAGAAAGTGCAGAAAGTAACCACACAAACCAAGACCATGCCTAGTGGTTTTAAAAAAACACATTATAAAACTGTTTATTTGGCAAACGTCTATCAGTAGAGTTGCTAGCAAGAAGCGGTTAATACACTGACTTTAATATAATATCAGTAGAATTAAAAAATCACACATTCATGCCAACATATTGGAATTATTGGGTGAAACTACATGTACAGTATATTTCATCATGAGATGAGACAAATAGGGCCTTATATACTGCTAATGTTGAAGTAATACTATTTGGCTGTCAGAGTATTTACATGTTGATTACTGTCTTCACTGAAAGCTACGATCGAAGGTTTTGAATGGAAACTCATCTGGTTAAAGGTAGAGCAGCAGACAGGAAAAACTCCCAACAAAACTTTCTCCAGACATCAAACTCCTTCGATATCAACATGACATTGACTTTACACACCTTGACTTTAACTGCTCTTTCACTTGGATTAGCTCTCAGCTAAGATCCCACAACTCTAATTTAGAATTGGTCTGAGAATTGAATCAAACCATATTTATAAATAAAAACAAAAACACTCAATTAAAGAACCTAATTTATAAAAAGGGGATGTAAGCATCATCACTAATTAAAACATTAGTTTCAACAAACAACACAAAAGACTTCTTAAACCGTTGAAAAGTACAAGAATCCTACTTGACAGTGGAAACTGTGAAACTATTACTTGGGTGTTAATGGTTAATACCTGCAGAGCTATTGAACTGTTGAAATGTTGGATCATGCTGCAACTGGCAGCTGTCGTCTTTTTACTTCCAGTGCGGTGCTATGATGAGAGCAGCGGCTGCCGCTCTGCAGCAGTGCTCTGAAAAAACAAACCAGACAACACACGGTCAACACAGATCACAATCAGATTCTGTCATCACTGTTCTCTGCTGAGTTTTAAAAAGACTTCCCCATCATACCACAACCGCTCTGATCATATATTCATTATGACAGTGTAACCAGGCAAAGATAAGGAAATAAAAAAAGCTTTGGAGCTTTTCTGCATTTTTCACTTCTTTTAAATTGCTGAGTCACAAACTGATTCCAGTCAAACGCTCACCTCAGGGACACTGAGTCGACACATTAGGAACATGAAGATTCCACCCAGAACGATGCCTAGACCGATCAGCATAAATGGGATGTTCACCACCACATTCTGCACCCCAGCAATCGCCTGCAACTTCTCGACTGACGTGTCGTCAAGGACGACGCTCTGAGGAGATGGTAAGAGAACAGACGACATAAAAAAACCCTCATCAGTCTCAACGGCCATTAGATACAGACTGGATGTAGCAAACATTTACATTTTAAAAGACAAAATAAGAGTAAATAAACTCTAATAAGGCATTGATGTGAACTGGATTTGAATTGGATATGGGGGATTTATTTGTGAAACAGCATTCAGCATGTGACAACAATGTGTGTGTGTGTGTGTGTGTGTGTGTGTGTGTGTGTGTGTGTGTGTGTG